TATATATATGTATATGTATATAGTATGAGTAGTAGACCATGTAGCCATATTAGAAAATTGGTAGTCTTGAAGAATTTCGCATGCTTTACAAGTTTAAGGTGATGGATATTCACAATATGCGACCACTACTAGATAAGAGTCAAAATGTCACAATCTAAATTCCAACATTCCTATTCATAATTTGACTGAAAGAAACCGAAACATTTGGTGAAAGAGTATTCCTATGGCTTTACTTACACTATGAACTATCGATGAAAAGGTTAATCACATACAGTAGACGCATACAATTTAATACCTTATGTCAATGGAATACATCATATAGAGGAAATGTTCATCATCATCATCATCATCATTATCAACATAGGACCAGGCATTACTGCGTAACGGTCCGAGTTGCCACACCTCATATCAGCACATCAAGTAAAAAGGTAGTGAGGTGAAGGATGAAGATAAGTGAATGCAGTCAAAAGAAATATAAAGTATGAGAAGAAAGGAAAGAGGAGTGACAAAATAGTGAGATTCGGTATAGCGTTGTTAAGATGAGGATAATGTGTGTATACATCTGCGCCACTGACTTCGGTTCTGAGCCATATCACCTAGGGTCTCCAACCACTGGTTCCTCTTGTCCCGTGGACCCCAACCACCTAGTCTGCATCGTCCTACATGGCTTAAACCAACAGTCAGAGACTTCATACATTGGTGCCATGTTTTAGTCTGGCCACCTCGGGCCTTTTTCCAGCCTGAACCCACCTCAGCCAACATTGTGTGACGAGGCAATCGGTGACTAGGCATACGTAGTACGTGTCCCAACCATCTCAGTCGATGAAGGTTCACAACCTCGTCGACTGACTTACCTCTTCTCCCTAAAACTCTACACCTAACTTCTGCATTACTCACATGGTGACACCACGGAATACGTCCTATACTACGAAGGCAACGGTGGTCAAATACCTGTAACCTTCTCATGTCTTCCACTTTCAATGGCCATGTTTCACAGCCATACAGTAGAACAGAGCGGACTGCTGTGCAGTACACGCGACCCTTAATAGACAAACGAATATCACGGCGGCGCCATAGGTGGCGCAAATTGGCAAAAGCCAATCGAGCCTTTTGTATCCGTGCAGAAATCTCATCGGCAACTAACCCACCGGGTTGATCCTACTTCCCAGGTAAGTGAAGTGGTCAACACACTCAACCACTTCACTCTCTATTGTTAACCGCGGTACCGCTGAAGACCAGTCCTGGAGCAAAAATTTGCATTTGGGTGGTGAAAATCGCATCCCAAACATTCTCAAATTCCCACTCAAAGTGTTCAGAAGACTCTGCATCTTGTCAGCGTCTTCACCTAACAGGACTATGTCATCTGCATATTCTAGATCTAAGGAAAATTCACCTGTGATCCGGTCAACGTCTTTGTAATTAGGTGACGAGAGGGAAACCTCCATAAGAATATCTATGATAAAATTAAATAAGAATGGGGATAGTGGGCATCCTTGACGGACACCACTTGATGAGTATAGCTCCCTGGACAACTCACCATAGGCTCTAACATGCCCACAAGTGTTCGAGTAGAGAGCTTTCAATAAGGTGATGTACTTACTAGGCACGCCTTTCAGTGACAGACACTGCCATAAGACTTCTCGATCAACGGAGTCAAATGCCGCCTTCAGGTCGAGAAATACAGCTATTGTCGGGCGTCTGTAAGCATGCCTATGTTCCAGGACCTGGCGCAGTGTGAATATTTGGTCGATACATCCACGGCCAGGTCTAAAGCCTGCCTGGTTTTCTCGGGCTTGCTGTTCCCGAGCTCCACTCAGGCGTCGGAGAATTATAGAACTTAGGATCTTAGACACTATGTTTGTCAGGCTGATTCCTCTGTGGTTATCACAAGAGGACTTCTCGCCTTTCTTGAAGACTGGGATGATGAGTGACTTAGACCAGTCGGAGGGGATCGTATTTGATTCCCATATACTGGCTAACACTTCCGTTAGCCTGACTAAGAGAACTCTACCACCATTCTTGTATACCTCAGCAGGTAGTCCGTCTGGTCCTGCTGCCCTTCCCCGTTTCAGGCTACCTACCGCTTTCTCAACTTCTTCTAGTGTTGGGGGACCTGTCTCTATGTCCCATTCAGGGTCCGACTGGATAGCGGGCAGCGCAATGGTGGCTGGAGGCCAGTTAAACTGTTCCTCAAAGTGTTCTGCCCATCGTCCCAGTCGCCTTCCCTGCGAGTGAATCGCAGATCCGTCCTTCTCCGCTATAACCTCACTAACTGTTGTTGACCATTTCCCCCCAGTCTCCTTAATAAGTCTAAATAACTGTCTACTGTTACCGATCGCCGCTGCCTTTTCCATCTCTTTAGCCTTTGCTGCCCACCACTGTTCACGATCGTTGCGCAGACTTTTCGTCAGTTTATTTTTAAGTTGCGCTCGCTCTTCATTGTACTCAGAGCCTGCAGGGATGCATTCACGTGCATCCATTAGTTTGGAAGAAGCTGCTGATATCCACTGGCTCTTTTTAGCCATTATCTTGGAGTCGGCTACAGTCTCCAGTGCTGCTTTTACAGTAGACTGAAGATGGCACCAAGCTTCTTCTGGATGAGTGACAGTCTTTTGTTCCGATAACTGCCTAGCCAACTTCTCACTGAACACGGCTTTGGTGTTTTCGTTGTCCAGCAGAACTCGTAGTGGTTTTGTTGCCAAATTTTTTCTACGTCCATTGAGACGCAGGCATATACGTGCTCGGACCAACGCATGATCGCTGTCCAAACACGTACTCCAGAAGGAGCGGCAGTCTTCCACCGATCCTCTCCAGCGATGACTAATAGCAATGTGGTCTATCTGTGTCCATCGCTGAGTCGAGCTCGGTGGACGCCAGGTCAGACAGTGCCTTTCTTTATGTCTGAAATTTGTGCTGGCTAAAAATAGGCGGTTATCTGAGCATAGTTGTAATAGGCGATCACCGTTATCTGTACGTTCAGCTGGGATTCCGAAAGTGCCACCTAAGTGCCTTTCTGCCTCACTCAGTCTACCCACCTGTGCGTTGAGGTCACCTGCAACAACCACTACGTCCGAACGTTTGGCTTTCGAGAGGAGGTTAGACAGTTTATGGTAGAACTCGTCCTTCACTTCATCCGAACTACAGTCAGTGGGTGCGTAAGCAGAGATTACAAAGAGACAACGGCGAGTCTCACTATTCCTTTTAGTTCTCACTGTGCCGTTCAGCCTCATAGCGCAGAGGCGACTATCAACTGGGATCCAGTCTAGTAGTGAGTTTTCTGCCCTGCTGCTTAATGCTATACCTACACCTGCAAGACCACGAGAGCTAGCTATCGAATCTCCAGAAACTCGAAGGGTGAATTTTGCAGATTCACCAGATTGGTCAGGAGAGGTCAGGTGAATAACCACACTTGGGTCCTGTATGCGTGTCTCACAAACACAGCACACATCCATGCCCGAGTTGCTAGAGTCTTTGCCAACGAAGCCTGTTGGCCAATTTGACGGAGGGTGCGGACATTGAAGGCTCCAATATGTAATTTGGAGCGTGGTTTAAGGAGACCAGGGATGCTGTTCTGTGGACTCAGATCGTTGTCGAAGGCTGCAGAGGTAGGAGAAATTGAAGATGATGCAGCATCATTAATTAAGAGACGTGAAGGAAGATTAGAAGGTAATGATGGAGGAGGAGGATAGCAGTCAGAAGAAACTTGGGTGCTGACAGAGTTGTGAGGGCGGTTGACACTTCCCGGCTGCCCACACCGTGGAAGGCTATTTCTTCTTAAGGTACCTGAAAGAGATTTGTGTGACCGCAGAGCCCATCGGACATCTGCTTGAGGCCTGTCACACCCAGCCTTTTGAGTATGATTATTTTGAATTTTTGTATTTTTGGGGCCGGATGAGCGAAAGGAAACGACAAGTGAACCAACACCGCCGGCCCGGCAGACCGTGGGGCGTGGTGGAGTGTGTTATTTTTGGGGCCGACCTTTTCTAACCCCCCCTTCCACTGAGAAGGCAGCATCAGCATGGCACTGCTGGTCATCCAAGGGAAACACCTTACTGCTGTCACACCCCATCCAGCTAGCAGCAGTACGACTTCGCCCTCAGACCCCCATCATAGTGTAGCAATTTACACTATAACGGTAACTGCTTTTCGTCTAACCACTACCCAACAGACCTTTCTGGTATGGTAGGACCTCGAGGGAACAAGCGTTCCACCAGCATAGCTCGTTGGGTCATTGTGATATGCAAGCCCGACCACCACGTCAAGGTAGCAGCTATCGGTCGGTATTTGATCTAGCTATTGACCTTCGACGAAACTGTGATCATATATTGTGATTACGTGCTATGATTACGCCAATAAAAAAAGTTAAAAATGCAGAACACAAAACTATAACTACAACATTCAACACAAACGCACAGAGATGAAAAGAAAAAATATAAATGTGATGGTAGGATAACTGATTTAAAACTTTTGTGATCACAGGAGCCGAGTGAAATGAAATATAATGCGTATTAAAGCATAGAAGTATAAAAATCAGAGTACTGATATCGAGTGTATATTTCAAATTTCCAAGTGTAACAAACTCACTCTAGATTGTCAAAAGTGGTGTCAGTGAATAACTAAATAAATAAATTATAAGTATAAAACAGGTAACAAAGAAGAGCTGTGCATGTCTTATTGTTCAGGAGTTAAATATACGATAACTACAAAATAACTCTCCAATTAGCGCATTGAAAATGGGAAAATTCCGCGGTAAGTATGTTTTCGAAATGAACTGATGGTGGATACAAACAAAATGTAATTAAAGTGATTTTCAAATCAGTCCAACATTTACACAAAGAAACCTAGGGCTAGATAATAAAACTTTTCCTAGACGAAACCATAGAGAAATGCGATAGCCATTTAATAAATGAAGGATAAATGACTGAAGTCTTTAGTTACTACTATTTATTCATTGGACTCAGTTGTATCAGGTAGAACATTATCAACATTGTTGAGATTATTTACAGATAAATCTGCTTCACTTCCTTCTGAATATCATGAACTGACGTGGTATCGTTAGTTTTTTCTTGTTCTGTCACTCCATTTACACTACGGATACCATTGGAGGATACATGGTCGGTATTGTTAAATCGACGACGAGGTCGTCGAGAATTGTAACCCCTGCCCCCTGTTCAAAACGAAGAAAAAAGTTAAGCGTTGGTAATCGAGTTGAGGTCACATGTATTGGTCAAAGTAGTCGTCTAGGCTCAATAAGGATAATAGAGCACAAAAACTTGCTCAGTTCTAGAACGGTAGATCTTAGTAAATAATAAGAAATCTACAGGAAAGCCCGGTTATAAAAATGCATGGGATTACACAAATGAATGAAACAGAGTGATTGATTATCAAAACAACGTGGAACATATGCGGTACATATTACTCAACATCTGCTCTGGATATCTGGAAAATTATACTTTCCTTATCTCAAAGGAAGGACAGAAAATAGAACTGTAAAAAAAGAGGATTAAATATGTGGAATTACCTTTGATATAACTATGAACAACAATATGATGTTGTTTGTATTATCACGCCGTCGATTGGACCGAATTGACCGGTCGCTATCGGCTCCTGCGCGGATGCCTCGATATTGCCTGTATTTGAGGAATAAATGTTACTTAGACTTCCGGCCACCTTATCATCCCATGACTAGGGAAATGTTTAAATAACAAGGCAAAGAATTTCACCGGAATAAAAGGTCAAAGAAACTTTACTAATAATTAGTTACCTAAATAGATTGATTTAGAAATGGATAAGGAATTCCGGCAAAACAATAAGAAGATATAAGTTGTCTGGATCACTCAGTGTATAAACGGGAAATATTCCGAACGATTCGATCACACGTACTTCGCATAGATATTTATACGAAGAATTTTAAAGAGTAAGAAAGTGAATATCAGTCAGATGAGAAGAGTGTGGCGAAAGTCGATACAACAATGAAAATCAACTGTAAAAAAAAGATGGCTGACACTAATAATAATAATAATAATAATAATAATAATAATAATAATAATAATAATAATAATAATAATAATAGAGTCCAAAGTAGGGATATGAATTCGAAATCACCAGTGTCATCATATAATGAAAGGACTTCAGAGAATTTACGTAACAGGACTGGGACTAGAGTGGCATTTGAACCTACAAACTCACAAAGAAACAAGCTCGTAGGTTACATGAGACAAAATAATTCGGCTCATATTATATGCAATGGTTGTAAGGTCACATGTATTGGTCAAAGTAGTCGTCTAGGCTCAATAAGGATAATAGAGCACAAAAACTTGCTCAGTTCTAGAACGGTAGATCTTAGTAAATAATAAGAAATCTACAGGAAAGCCCGGTTATAAAAATGCATGGGATTACACAAATGAATGAAACAGAGTGATTGATTATCAAACCAACGTGGAACATATGCGGTACATATTACTCAACATCTGCTCTGGATATCTGGAAAATTATACTTTCCTTATCTCAAAGGAAGGACAGAAAATAGAACTGTAAAAAAAAGAGGATTAAATATTGGAATTACCTTTGATATAACTATGAACAACAATATGATGTTGTTTGTATATCACGCCGTCGATTGGACCGAATTGACCGGTCGCTATCGGCTCCTGCGCGGATGCCTCGATATTGCCTGTATTTTTGGTTTTGATATTAGTGATAGGTAGTGGTTATCAGTGGGATCCATGACGCATGTTTCGTCTTATTTAGGAGTCATCACCTGGATATACCTGGCTCCCAGTGAGCGATGTTGTTCCCACTAGGACCCGAACAAGTGGCTATCACGACTCGGCGGCCTAGTGTATAAAGTTTTGGTATTTGAAGCCATCGGTCCCGGGTTCGAGTCTTAGTGCAAACATCATCGCTCAGTGGGAGGCAGGTAGATCCAAGTGATGACTCCCAAATAGGGCGAAACACAGCCCCTATATCCGATCCCATCCACTATCTTACATTAGTAACAATAAATTATGTTCTAATCGTCACCCAGTAAATAATACAGTTTCACTGCGTGAAATATCCTTCATAGGAATTAACCTGCAGTGACACACCATTACACTGCCCTAGTTTTACTCTACTTAGTATTTCGGCATCTAACGAACGATTAGAAGATAAATGCGAATGGCAACAAGACCTGGAATTTCTGTATAGACTACTAGATGATAATGGGACTGAAGACCTTACGTTCCTACTGAAATTCATCCATGACGTTAGTTCATTAAGGGGTGTTTCATTAACTATGTATTCACGGGCGCAGTTTAGAACGAACCAATCAGTAAGGTGTCCCTCTTAGACCCCAAAGGAATATACGAGGTCCCATGAATACTCAAAGTAACGAAAAACCGTACAATTAGAAAGTTTCACACGGTTTTTATGCAGTCAACTGATGGCAAACTTCTGTCACATAAGCTATAAATGAGGATACACACGGAAGAGATAGCTCACGGATAACAAGAACAGCTGTACAAGTGACTAACGATGATGTCATCCTCAAAAAAATTTCTGTAAATACAAGTAAAAGTGATTGATATGTTCGAATATCACAAGGTTTAAATCCAGGGGATTTTATAATTTTCCGTACCCACAATACACTAAGGTATGTGAATTTCATGACTACGCCTCTGCACTGTTTCTTAAGTGATAACTATAGAGGAAATCTTACTGACATAAGAAATTAAAAATTATTAAAAGGGCTGAACAAGTGAAAGTCTTTTCCTTAAAGATTTCCTTTAGCTATCAAAGTACAACACTAGAGGGTGTAGACTCAACTATAGTGTTCTTCATAGACAAAATGAATTTAGTTCACACGGAATGAATTATAAGAGAAATGCAGACTGAACTCTAGCAAATATCTTTTGACGTTTCTCGTCCCAAAAACTGGTCACTTTTGTAAGGTATCTATCCCTAATAGGCTTTTCCAACACACAAAACGCGTTTGTTCATCACTGGCATTACTCTACAGATATAGTTCACATTTTTCTTACTTCATGATGGCTACTAACGCGACACGATTAACTGTAAAAATAAATTCGATTGATATATCTCCTTGAAGTATCACGTTAGGCAAGTTCAATCACCAAGTGAAGACTGCAGTTGTTTATTATCGAAGATAGATTCAGATGAGCAGAAAGACGAAAATGGCAATTCATGATAAGAAAACAAAAGTTTTCAAAATCACCTATAGAGTTCGATAGTATACTTTTTTATTGGTTAAGGTTTTCAAGTGTTCAGAGAGTGGTAAAAAATAATATAAAAATTTGAGGACATAGTAAGTGAGTGGACTTTAGATCATGTGTGAAGAACTGGGGGTATACTTTTCAAATATAACTTCGAATCAAGATCTATGCAAGGTGGTAGGAATATACAACATATAATTTCATAGAGGGATTCAATACATAGCCTAGAAAATGTAACTCGGTAGCCATGTCCACGTATTTGCAAAAGACGAGTCACACCTATTAGATAAGTGTGTATGTGTTAGAAATGCCTATATCCCTTATATTTCATACTTACAGTTTGTATATATTTGAACTGATTTGTTTCGCGCTCTTTTTCAGCGCATGGGTCATATTTCGTATGACCCGCTATTGTTCTGATTGGCTCCTGCTCTTTAAATGTACTAAGTATCCCTTCTCTTTCAAGGTTACTGCAAACTCTATAAATAGGGTGCATTTTCACTCATAAATGCTTTTAGTCCAAGATACTAGAGAACTCATGTGGTCTTTTGGTTTCTCATTGCGAATCACTCAGGTTGAATCGTCTCAACTGTAGACTATCAATCGTTAAGTATTTTCGTTCGTTATCATAACAGTATGTTACTTTCCCGCTACTTAAACTTCGGTAAGTATAATGAGGTTGCAACCCATGACCCACCAGTTACATTTAACTGCTTCATAATTCTCATTGTGACATCAAAAACAATATATTCAGCGAAGAGGACTCATTTGAACGACTTTTTTCTCAGCCAAACATCACTTTATCTTACCAGTCGTAAATTCTTCTCCGTTTGTATAAAAGACAATATCCCTCGACAAGCCATATTCATGTGTATCTACCAGTTCACCTGCTCTTGTGGAGCAAGGTACACCGGCCATAGTCAAAGACTGCTATCAACACGTATACAAGAACATATTCCGGCTGGGCTTTATAAGGGTGAAAGGAAATACATCAGAAGTTCTATCCTTGAGCATTTAATCGATTCCAACCATTCAGCCGACCCAAACAAGGATTTTAAGGTTGTATATCGAATTCGCCCAAACACCTCACGTTTCGCTTATGTCCAGCTTATAATACTACTTAATCGTCCGGACCGAGGTAGTTAGATTGGCGTTTATACCAGGTATCCAATCTAGTTGAGTCTAACATCCACATGCATTATTAGATAATGAAGTGATTATTCTTAGATAGAAAAGAAACCTAGCCACTGGGAAAAATTAGTAAATATTTCATTTGCAGGCGAAAATGATAGAGATAGACTGGGAATTAAGACAAACACAGACACCAGTACTGAATGCCTATGTGACACAGCTTTGGGTTATTGGTCTAGAAATTCGATACCTAACCAATGGGTTCGAACATCGCTTCCCTATCGAAGTCTTGACAGTCAACTTGAAACACTCTCTAGACCTCATGCAATAGATGTCGCTGATTGTCTACTGAACGAATATGTGTATAAATGCTGAGTGGATTTAGAAGTTATACACTGATTAGTCAATACTAAAACCCTATGGCATACCCAGCTTCCTTCTACATAATATAGGTTGAATTCAACAATCACATAGAAATTTGTTGAAAGCTATATGGCACATTAAAGGCAACCGTAGATTTGGGTTAAATTATAGTCATATGCTCAACTCATGTATAACGACTGGTTTTTTCACTGTGTTCAAGGTTGTGTTGTTGATAGTTGCGGACAGTAAGTTCAATACTCTTGCTTTGATGGATACCGTTGGAAGTAAGGCAGTCTAGCCACCAAATTAGGTGAGTCAGTCCAAGAAGTGATTGAGTTGTGTGGCTCATACGTGGGTCAAGTACGATAGTCGGCCATAATAAGTCACTAAGCTCATTGACCTTGAGTCCAACAAACAGTTGTTTCGGCGGTAAATAACAAAAGCATCATATCTTCTAAAACTCCAACCAAGGTTTTTCAGTTGTCAGTACTCGTAGACCAAATCCAAGCTTGGTCATCACACCTCAAAATCATCGATAGAATTCTTTGAGCACTTAGGAATAAACAATATCGAATGGTTACTTTCTTGTGACTAGTTAGTCTTTAATTCCGTACAACTCGAAGAGCTCAGTTGCAACATCTTAAACTGTAGTTGTGAGTGGTTCGGGTTCGGATATCTGAGGAGACTAATTCGTTCAAGGTTGACGATACACCCTGCTGATGAGTGCTGATATGCACGAAAACATATGATCTAAGGCTTCCCAATAATCGTCTCCAACTAACTACCTAATATTGTCAGATGATGGTAGCAAAGGCTTTTAAGTGAACCGTCGCATGAGACCGTCATTATATACGACAGTAAATATTATGCTTCAGCAGTCGCTAAATTCAATGTTATAGCAATGTTCAAAGTAGCAAACAGGGTGAAACATATTAAAAGTTGGTAGACAGAGATCATTAGTAAGAAAATGAAAGTTTTAGTTACACTGTATAACTATCGATTCCATATTACAATGAAAAAGAAACAACTTACGACCACGATAAGATCCACCTTGACTATTTTGTGAATCATAAGCCGGTTGAAATCTTGACTGGGAGAAATTTACACGTCCAATGTAATATCCATTTGAATAGCGAAAATTTCCCATTGGTCGACGAAAAGGACGTCTAAAACCTCGTTGATAGTATCGAGAATCTTGAGAACCGGTTATTTCACCTGATGTAAATCTACCATCTCCAACGTTTACAGTGCTGAAATTCCTTGTTGGTGCACTACGGTGACGAATATTGCCATAGGGCCTACGCCATTGACGAGGAAATACTCCAGGTGTCGCTGAAATATTACCTTCTTTATATGACTGATCATTAGATTTCTTAAAAAAGCAAAAAGAATTGTAAAAGATAGTAAATCAGTAAATCCACTAGTACGAATGACTACGAGAAATTTATCGATTTAAACACAGTTTGATCATAAAATATTTACGAATGAAGTACTGAAAAAGGAACGAAAATTGAAAGACACATTCTGCCCAAATATGAAAGCGTTTCTCAATGCACAATGACGAGACTATTAGGGGAAATGAAACCAAAGCCTTCGGGAGTAACAATTCGCAGGATATCGTTGATCCGATGGACTGAAACACAATACCCTGCAGTTTCCTGATTTTGAAACTTAGCACAACAACTACATTTCGATTGCTACAAGAGTTAACAGTGGAAAGTGGAGACACGGCTTATCCGTCTAGACAGTTGACATTCAGCCAATGGGTAGAGTTCAACAACGGGTGGCATTTACTCAGGTCTAGGTAACCATGATCAACATCAACATAGGACCAAGCAATAGACAATACCGGTTCAGTTGCGACACCTCATATCATCACATCAAGCTACAAGGCGTTAGGATGAAAGATAAAGAAATAATAGAGAAGATTCGGTCAAAAATAATAGAAAGTAGTAAAAGATAGGCAGAAAGAATAAGGAAATACCGAATCCAGTATGAAGATTAACCTGAAGATATTATGCGAATGCATATGCGTCACTGAGATTCAAACTGATACATCAAGCTGCTTCATGTCCTCTACCTTTAAAGGTCATGTTTCTCAGCCATACAGCAGAACAAAATGAACTGACCTAGAATACATTCGACCAATAATAGACAATCGGATATCATGGCGGCGCCACATGTAGCGTAAATTAGCAAAAACTATGCGAGCTTCTCATATTCGTGCAGATGCTTTGACGGTCCCTGACCCACCAGGGTTGATGCCACTTCTCAGGTAAGTAAAGCAGTCAACGTCCAATACTACTCCACTCCTTATTGTTAGACAAGACAGTAGTGAATAACAGTCCTGGAGCAACAATTTGAATTTAGGTGTCCAGAAACGCATGTTAAACATTCTTGAAATGCCACTAGGTATCGAGAATTTTCTGCATCTTGTTGTCTTCACCTAACATGACTATGGCTTCTGCATACCCCAGATTCACTACGAATTCGCCCGTGATGATATGAATCCATGTAAAGTCAGATGACGATAAAGAGACCTCCATAACTACTTATATGACAACACTACATAACAATAGGGAGAGTGGACATACTTGATGGACACCATTCGATGTATACAATTCACGTTATAACCAACCATAGGCTCCATCCTACCCACAGGTGATCGTGTACAAAGATTTCAACATAACGGTGCACTTATTCCACACACCTTCCAGTGGCAGACACTGCCACATAACCTCTAGGTCGAGTAAAATGCCACAATCAGACCAAGAAATATAGCTGGTGTCGGATGTCAGTAAATGTGCCTGAGTTCAAGAAACTGAAGGAGGGTGAAAACCTGATAGATACGCCTATGACCAGGTCTAGTCGTCTCGTATTTGCTGTTCTTGGGCTCCACCTACGAGTTTGATAATCATACAACCTGGAATTTAAGACACCATGTTCGTTAGGCTGATTCCTTTGTGGCAAACGAAAGACAACTCCTCACCTTTCTTGAAGACTGGGACAATCAGTGACTGGAACTAGTCACACGAGATCATATCTCATTCTCATATACCAGCTCAGACTTCAGGGAATATAACAATATTCTGTAGCCACTGAGTCCTTGAATAGCCCTGAAAATGGTCCATTTGACACGCCTGCTCTTCCTCGTTTCAGGTTACGTACAGCTTTCTCGACTTCCACAGATGATGGGGATTCTATCTCAGTGTTCTATTCCGTTTCCAGACGGACAGTAGGCAACGCTATAGTAGCTGGAGACCACTTCAACTGCTTCTCAACCTGTTCTACCCATCGCTACAGTCGTCTCATATGCGAGTGAATAACACACCCACCTTTACCCACTATATTTCCACCAACAACTGATCCTCTCGTTCTAGTTCCCTAGATAAGCTTAAATAACTATCTACTGTTACCCATGGCCGCTGCCTTCACCATCATTCCATAAACTTTTCGCCAGTCTACATTTGAGTTGCTTCCATACCTCATTGTGCTTGACACCTGCAGCGATGCATTCGCATGCATCTAACAACTCAGAAGAAGCTGCTGAGATCAACTGGCCCTTTCCAACCAGTCTCCCACGGTTGGCTACGGTCTTCAACACTGTCTCTACAGCAGACTGCAGATAGCAACAGGCTTCCTATGCATGACAGATGTTCTTCAGTTCCAAAAACTACCTAGCAACTTTCTCACTGAAAGCGACCTTAATGCTCTCAACGTCAAGCTGCACTCGCAACAGTCTTGTTGCTATATCGTTTTGCGTCCATTTACGTGGAGACATACACATGCTCCAATCACTGTCTTAACACGTGCTGCGGAATAAATACCAGTCTTCCACCCATCCTCTCCAGTGATGTGATAAAAATACAGTCTATCTGTGTCCACTGCTGAGCTGAGGTCGGTTGATGTCTCTCTTAATGTGTGAAGTTCGCGCTGGTCAGAAATAAGGGATTATCTCAGCATAGTTGTATCAGGTGACCGGCGTTATCTGTTCGACCCAATGGGATTCCGAAAGTGCCAACTGTCTTTCTCCCTGACTTAGCCTACCCACTTGTGCATTGAAACCACCTGCTGTGATAACCACGTCTGAACGTTTGACTCTCAGTAGGAGACTATACAGTTTTCGATAGAACTCATCCCTCCCTTCTTCCGAGCTGCAGTCAGAGGGAGCGTAAGCACAGATTACAAAGAGATAACTATGAGTTTCACTACTCTTTCTAGTCCTCACTGTGCCGTTCAGTCGAACAGAATAGGCAATCAACTGTCAATTGGAATCCAGTCGAGTAGTGCACTTACTGCCTTAGCATTTAAATCTATACTCACACTTGAAACAACACGAGAACTACCTATTGAATCTCCACAAACTCGAAGAGTAAATTTCGCAGACCCACTACATAGGTTGAGTGAATAACCACACTTGCGTCCTGCATATGTCTCACAAACACTACAACCATCGATAACGTGACATGTCAAAGCATTGGTCAGTGAAACTGGTGATTGATTTGACGTAGAGTGCTGACATTCAAAGTTCCAACAAGCAGTTTAGAGTACGGTTTCAAAGAGACCAGCAATGCTTTTCAGTCAACTCACTCACATCGTTGTCAAGAGCTGGAGAGTTGAAACAAATTAATGAAGTAGGATTATTGATCGAGATATGTGAAGGAAGAATAGAAGGTAAGGATGTGGAGGTGGATGGTGATCTGAGTACTGACATAGTTGTGGGGGCGGTTGACACTTCCGGCCGCCCACACCGTCCAAGGTTATTTTTTCTTGAGGTACCTGAACAATAAGGGTTATTGCGTGATCACGTAGCCGAAGGGATATTGTATGAGGCCAGTCGCACGCACCTTTTCACACGTTTTAGATTTTCGTTTGCTTTTCGCGAATCAGTCTACTAACCATATCACGGAGCCTGGTATTTCACAAGTCATTTGTGTTAACGAAAGTGCAACGTTGAAAATTGAATATGCATAGTTAGCAGACAAGTTTTATTTAAACTGAGGATTCTGAATCTAGAGAACATAAAGCAGACATTCACCCATACCTTAAAGAAGGTTCTAATGCACTCCGTGGACTTTATCAAAATAATCTTTGGAAACTGTGTAATGAAACTTACGTAGATGTTTTTATGGAAGAGCTACTGATCGATCGACAGTCAACTTTGTTGCATCATACTAAAAGCTCCACGACAGACTAGCTTATTAATGCAAGAGTATTGCTATTTGATAAAGCAAATAGTGATACAGCATTATCAACCAATTCCCCATATACTTCCAAATTGAACAAGCAATTATGCTGCCTCATAAACTAAGTAAACCTAAAAATATAAGCACAAATAGTATTCAAATTTCACTGTACGCCTTACTGACGAGTACCAAGAAGCATGAAACCTAGGTCCAGGGCTTGCTGCCGATCGCCTCCATCTGACTAACATCATAGTACAATTTTCATGAACTTTATCAGATGCTTACATTGCAACCAATAACAAATAATACATCATTAACAAACAAACAAAAATTTTGATCAATTTACAGTTGTATCTATCTCTGTATTGCAAATTTCGAACTTAGCTTTTACCTTGAATATTTAAAGTACATAATTTTCAAACTTTTAAATATTTATAATGGTGCTAATAATCATTACAATTCCTTAGTTTTTTTGCAACTGATGAGATGTTTTGAAGTAAGAAGTGAGTTGTTTCAATGTTTACAATGTTTACTTGCTTGCTCTGTTGAAATCGATTCACTCAACCTTGGAATAATCTCAACAATTCCTATCCATTTATATTAATTTCGATTATTCTACATCTTCCATCTTAATCAAGACATTCCTAGCCAACTTAATTTGGGTGTTGGATATTTTGTTTGTTTTTTAAAAATGTGATAATCCATGAAGAAGTGTCTACAACATATTGTTTTGCTAGGGTAATAGGAATAAGAGAGCTTTGTTGTTTTATGATTTGAGTGAGGATTAACATATTGCCCATATCTACTGATGGTTGTCCTAAGCAATCATTCACCTAGCCTTTAACAGAAAGCAGAGCAACGTCAGGTTTTACATTCCGATGGGTTCTGTTAACCAAATTGGGTTCGAATTTGATTCACCTGCTCTGCATCCTGAAGGCCATGTCCACCATTAGTTTGGAATCCAAGTTTTGTATCTCCTCTAGATAGCCCTGTCTTATTCACTATTCTAGTGATAAGCACCTGAAATTTGGTTTCTCCTTCCCACTTTCCTCGAGAAATGTTTCTGATATGAAGGCAGTCAAAAGGAATCCCCCGTATGAGGCTGATGAACGCACAGCAGCATGAAACCAATTTCTATCGAAAGCGTGAGGTAACCTCACCGTTAAACAACCAAAGAAATTTAGATGGCTCTGCGTATCCAATAAACCTTGACTTTGGTAACAAACCCTGAGTGTCGTGAAACGTAGAGTTTTAGGAGAAAACAGCAAGTTTGATGATGAGGTTGCAAATTTCCAGTGAATTAAGTGTCTGGGACGCATGTTATGCATCCAGTTATGCACCGACGCATGACGTTAAATGAAGCAGGATTCGACTGAAAAAAGATTAAAGGTGGCCAGATTAAAAATTGTCTTGTGTCCATGATGTTTTTGACTGTTAGTTTGAACTATTTAGGAAATGTAGGCTACTGGTTTCGGGTGCATAAGACAGCCAAACTTAAAGATTGGATACTGTAGGTGATATGGTTGAGAAGTGATCAAAACGATGAAAATTCATTTACGCCTTATCTTTATCGTCACCATTTTGTTGTCTCCTTTACCCCCCTCTATACTTCTATTTCTGTTTCAAAAACTTTTTATGACTTTCAGTATATTCTTTTCTCTTTCTTGTCTTTTGTTTAGCCGCCTCATGTGACGTGCGTTAACTTGGACCTTCACGCAGTAATACCAAATCAAATACTGATATTGACCTTCTGCTGTCATCTATTTAAGTCTGTAAATGAAATGTATCGTGCGGAATGGTGAAAAGAAATTTCTTTGCTTAAGTCATATTCCTAATTCCTAGCAAGCCAATTCAATACTATCTGACAGCCGCCTTCTTAAGATCAATTGCTGATGAAAACTCTGCAATCAAGTCTCGTACTTTTGACAAAAGCGAAGGGTTATATACCAGGAACAATACAATTCTCTGCGGTTTTACCATAGACTGACATCAAATGAACACCGATTGAAAGTCTGAAGTCACTGAACAACCGTTTCACCCTATGTAATAAGTCCTTAGTAGTGCAAACAGTCATGAGCCCATGAGGCACTGCATTCAGAACTGTAAGACTTCGTGGCAAACATGTAACTATCTAGCCAGTGAGTTGAAATCGAACAGTTCACATACTCCTACTTCTGTCTACCCCGATACGATGAAACTACCATTCAATGCCATCAGGGAGTATTTATCTTTTTACCCCATTTAGTTTGGCTGTCCATGGTGGAAGCTGCCACGAAACCAACAGCTGAGTAAAAATTCAACTAAAGAAATCTAATATCCGAGTAAAAAGAGCAATGGCAATAACGATGAAGTCTGAGTTAACTTTCAACTTCAACTAATGAAGCTAAACTACCTTTCAGACTAGTCAAAATTCGAAGCAACTGTATGACTACTACTAAGCAGTCATATGAATGGGAATCAATGGATGGCAATAACACGTCATATGACGTTATAGTGTGGAATAAGACTGCGGTAGTCTTCATAAAAAGCCTTAAATCCCTAAAGATTTTTACAACCAATCAAGTGTCACTGGAGTTTCGAGAGAAAGCACGTGAACCAACGTGTAGATATCAGACTACTTGAAGAGACAAAAAATCAATCGGATTTAAATCTAGAAAGGCCTGGAAATAGCTGAGGCTATTGTAAATATTGTATTTTGTATATATTTTCGAAGTTGTAATACTTTTTATCGTACCGCCTTTTCCGTTTATCGAGAAATTGAGGGGCCAGCAAGGGGGGAATCTAAAGGTTATTTTAAAAGCGTCCGCTCATATAGTAGTCACCACAAGCTTATAACAAGTGACAACAGGGGTTATAAAGACTTTGATGGACCCAGAAAAAAACTTACCTTTATTGGGTATACACGTTCATTTTTCAACTAAGATTAGAAGCATCACAGATACTAAGAGCTGTAGAGAAAAAAAACACTATATATATATATATATATATATATATATATATATATATATATATATATATATATATATATATATATATATATATATTCCCGTGAGAAACAGGCCAGAAAAGAATTTGAACCTATAGAGGGGATTATGTTAAATGTAATTCATATAAATCTCGTTCTCACACACATAGAACACCAACTGTACAGTTTCAGACAGATAGATCAACTTAGAGCTTGGCATAGAAGTTTACCGACCCAAGCCACAAGAAACTGAAGCAACTTGGAAGTGAACAAGTGGATATAAAAAGAATTAAACTAAAGTAGACAAGTATGTTTGAGAAGAGAAAGAACAAGCAAATGAAGATTAGTGAAAATATTCACGACTCTGAAGAGTGTTAACATTTACACCATTGTGACTGATTTTAAGCCATATTAACATTTTCAAACCACTTATTCTTGTTCTCTGGAGGATCACAGCCAAGAAGTCTACACTGTTAAAGACCTCATCAATTGCTGCCACTTTTCGGTGTGGCAAGCCTTAGCATTCTACCAACCGAATCCGACTCCAGCGAGCATTTTTCGTCAAGGTACGCGACGGCTTGGCATGCGCAACATATCATTTCCTTACCCATTACTTCACACCCAAACTCGACACTGCTCACTTGGTGGTTAAACCACAGACAAGAAAGCCTAAACGAAAGTACTTATAATACAAAGGCCGGTAACGTTTTTCAAACCTCCCAACAGTCAAGTCACGCAGCCATATATGGATGTATAAGAGTTAATGAACTGTTGTGCAGTATTCTTGTCCTTTGGTAGGTTAGTCGGGTATATCTTCGGTATCGTAAGTGGCATAAATCGGATAAATGCCAAACGGGCCTGTTTGGCCTACTATTCTTGCTTACTGGCACTCCTTAGCAAGGTGTATATGTAATGCAGAGGAAACTGATGTCCATTCGGAGATTAGAACCGGCATCAGCAAGTGCTACATTTAGAAATGCTACCCAAACAGCACAGCGCCAAAGTTTGTGACTGAAGCAGTGACAAAAATTCGCTCAATATTGTAAATAAGCTTTGCTAACAAGTGAGAAATCTAGATCGGGCAGGGATTACTACTGATTGTCTCCAATCAACTAACATCAATAGAGTAGTCAGTCACTCAGTCAAAAATTTATGCAGCAAATAGTGATCAAGTACGGATACAAACCAAACCCAAATATTTTCGAAAAGTTTCAAAATATTTAACGTATTAAAAGAAATCATAACCATAGTCAAAGTGAATAACAAACGCTTTTACCTGTTGAGTTGTAGTTCCATCATCATAACTTTCATTTTGTCCACTTTGAACCTTGGCACTTTTTCCAACACCGCCACCACCCCGGCGGCGTCGTGGTCGATATCGTCCGTTACTTAAACAGGGCTGAGCATTATCACCTTCAGCATTCTCAGCGGTAGAAGCATTTTTCACTCGAGAAGGTTCACTATTCGTTCTATAACGACGATTATATAGGCGGACACCCTGATGAAAAGATAAATAAATTACTGAATAACAGATAATAACATCGCTTGACGACTGGTTACAAGGTAGTTTTCATTATGTACTGGCATCAGTCGGAGAACCACTGGAAACCTGAAAGCATTAGATAGCCAGTTCGTCCTAGTATGGAACTCCTCAGCATTGAGTACGCACGGCCCCACCACAAATCGAACCCAGGATCATTAAGTCTCACTAACGAGCAAGTTAACACAACTACCGGGTGGGAGATACAAGCAGATTTCGGTAGAAAATAACTCCAAAGCAAGTAAGGTGAAATGTGTTGGAACTAAGATACAGTTTGAAATAAAATAAAATGATCATATGTCACAAAATCAATCAAATACTAATTGATAAATCGATCAAAAGACCCTCAGATGTTACTTTATCCAATAATGACTAATTCAGAAAGTAATTAAGAAAAAATACCTGTTCAACATCGTTTTAGCATTACTCGCTTGCAGTGGGACCATCATAAAGGGAAAGATATTAAGGTTAGGTGTAGAGATGTAGTTAATCAGTTAATTAATTCCATCTCCTGGATGATTATGTAGTATAGAAGTGCTTATTTTAGTCATTACCATTCATACAAGAATGAGCATTACTGTGTAACAGCTTAAACTGCGATACTTCACACCAAAACACACAGGACAATAAGACGAAACACGCAGAAATGGAAAAGCGGAACTACTCAAACGATTATAACAACGAAACCGGGTTTGTGAGATCACACAAACGTATATCTCCTACTAACATAAGTGAAAATGTTGTTAAAAGAATGTTCAAAGACCCAATTTTAAAAAAAAATGTTTTTCAAGTTCACTGTTAACAAAAAAGGCATCTCAGGAAATCAATAAACGGATTGTCTTACCACACACAAATAACGCCTCGGAGACTGCAACTAGATATCAGGAGCTTTTGGTAATCACTGAAGCCCATAAGCTTAAAAAATGTCTCCACTCAATGTTGCGCAGGCCAATAGACACAATCAGAAAGAGAGACAAACCAAGTGTTATCTTTAAAATAAACTGCAGCAAACTAAATCAGGCAGGATGGTCATCTTCTTCGAACACCAACAAGCAGTAAAGTGTCACGACATATATTTGCCCATATCAATGCATATAGACAACTAAGGATATGAATCGACTGGGGAAATGTGAAAATCTTGAACAGAGGAAATAAGAAAGTCGAAGAATTTTTAGGAGCATGGTACTCAGGTCAGTCAGTAATTGGTAGGGTGTATTCGCACTGATCCAACCAATCAACCAACACGAAACGACAGTACCAACAAGAAGGTCATCACGAAAGACAAATAAAATGCGTGTGATGATAGTGAAGACATCATAGCAGAAACAAGCAATCAAACCCAACCTCATCAAGACAAGCTACTAAACCACTTGTGGGTAAATTCTCGTGGTCTACTTCTTTCTGAATTTTGTGCTGATGTTGCCTGGACAGGCAATCAAAGCTTCACAATTAAACCATCCAGCTCACAGTACTCAAAACGCCACCAAAAACAAGTTCGAAAGCTTAAAATTTAATTTAATTAGTTCACTTACTTTGACTGGTTGACCACCTGGACCAGTGACGCATGATGCTTCTATTCCTTGGTTTGTTTCCACCACTGTAAACTCAACCTCTTCTCCATTTAACAATGAAGGAAATGGATTTGTATAGGCTGATATGACAGATCGGTGCACAAATAAATCTCCACCATCATCATTTCGACTGATAAAACCGTAACGTTTAATGGTGCTGTACCATTTTACATGACCAGTAACCTTTTCAGCTGTAGTGAAGTGAAATTAACAACGAAAAATCACTCACCTAAAACCTGAATAATTTGAACTTCTTTACGTGGTGGTTTCGGTACTTCAACTGGTGTCTCAACAGCAACTGCAGTAGTAGACATTCGGATTCGAATATATGCGTGATGATCTGAGGAGGGTTTCCTCTTGAGGTCGTCAGAAAATAACAGATATTAATTCTAAGTAAGGTTGAATAGCAAGTATAGAACGAGTCTGAAAACCAAAAGTATGTTAAACCAGTAAACCGCTATACAAGTTGGATTTTTAGCAAACACTTTAATTATATATACGAACATACAAGTAGGTGAACTTCGCACAAAGAAACTGTATCAGTCAATAAGCATTTCATGAACTCTTTTCCCTACCCATGTTGCATCTGTTATTCTTGCTTCACACATGATCACCAGCATTCTATGAAGCCAGTACCGCTGAAGTTACACACCACTATCCTCAAAAATCTATGGATTATTCTTCTGATCGATGTGGTAAAAAGACAAGACACATACACTGTCGGTTGCTCTGTGTTTTTATTCTTTTATAGAACAAATCTTCAGAAAGAATTATTACTTAACCCATGAAGAAAATAAAACTAAACAAAAGAATGAAAACACCCGAGTAATTACCTATAGGATGCATTGAAAAATCTAACATACACCTGTTGTCTCACGACTAGCACTAGGTAATTAAAGGGAATTCGGTTTACATGATTGGCAATCCACTCATGACACCAATGAATGTCTTATAAATATGACTAACAAGATGAGCGGACCGATAGTAAGCTGAATTAATGCTTAAATTGAGTTATATCATTTTTGTCTTTGTAGCGACAATGGATAAACACTGGTACTTCTCTCAGTCAATTACTAGTTGTTGTTTTTCTGCCATGTATAATCAAGTTCTTACTGACACTCTTCACTATACGATTGAATGCTATGAAAATCTCAACGAAAAGCTATTACGCTGATAATGTGAAAAATGCAGCTTCATACATAGTTATTAACTTCTCATTTTTTGGTTTTACTGTAGAACACTATCATTTGAAACAAGTAACACAGTGCGGAAGAAGGGATCTAATCAGTCCATAAAAATTCTGTAAATGTTATCTGCCGAATACTCGACACTTGACTATGTATACCACGGGGAGGGGGATTCAGCTATACATATGCATTTCAAACTACATCAACAAATAATGCCCACCAACATTACCGCTTACATTAGTTTCAGTGTGGCCTCAGATGTAAATCAATCAATCAATTAATATCAACATAGGACCAGGCATTACTGAGTAACGGTCCAAGTTGCTACACCTCATCTCATATCAGTGCATCAAGTAGAAAGGTAGTGAGGTGAAAGATGAAGATAAGAAACTTCAGCCAAAAGAAATATAAAGTAGGAGAAGAAAGAAAGGATGAATGACAAAATGGTGAGATTCCATGTAGCATCGTTAAGATGAGGATAATGTGTGTATACATCTGCGCCACTGACATCCGTTCTCAACCATATCCCTAGGGTCTCCAACCACTGGTTCCTCTTGTCCCGTGGACCCCAACCACCTAGTCTGCATCGTCCTAAATGGCTTAAACCAACAGTCAGAGACTTCACGCATTGGTGCCATGTTTTAGTCTGGCCACCTCGAGCCTTTTTCCAGCCTGGGCCTACTTCGGCCAACATTGTGTGATGAGGCAATCGGTGACTAGGCATACTTTATACGTGCCCCAATCATCTCGATCGATGAAGGTTCATAACCTCGTCACTGACTTACCTCTTCTCCCCAAAACTCTACATCTAACTTCTGCATTACTCATGTGGTGCGGTGACACCACGGAATACGGTCTATACTACGAAGGCAACGGTGGTCAAACACTTGAAGCCTTCTCATATCTTCCACTTTCAATGGCCATGTTTCACAGCCACAGAGCAGAACAGAGCGGACTGCTGTGCAGTACACGCGACCCTTAATAGACAAACGGATATCACGGCGGCGCAATAGGTGGCGCAATTTGGCAAAAGCCAATCGAGCCTTTTGTATCCGTGCAGAAATCTCATCGGCAACTAACCCACCAGGGTTGATCCTACTTCCCAGGTAAGTGAACTGGTCAACACACTCAACCACTTCACTTTCTATTGTTAGCCGCGGTACCGCTGAAGACCAGACCTGGAGCAAAAATTTGCATTTGGGTGGTAAAAATCGCATCCCAAACATTCTCAAATTCCCACTCAAAGTGTTCAGAAGACTCTGCATCTTGTCAGCGTCTTCACCTAACAGGACTGTCATCTGCATATTCTAGGTCTAACGAAAATTCTCCTGTGATTAGGTCAACGTCAGTGTTATTAGGTGACGAGAGGGAAACCTCCATAAGAATATCTATGATAAAAGTAAATAAGAATGGGGATAGTGGGCATCCTTGGCGGACACCACTTGATGAGCATAGCTCCCTGGACAACTCGCCATAGGCTCTAACATGCCCACAAGTGTTCGAGTAGAGAGCTTTCATTAAGGTGATGTACTTACTCGGCACGCCTTTCAGTGACATATACCATCGTACGTAGAGGCGACTGTCTACTCGTATGGTTGGACATTTGTCAGAACGACTATAGTGCTTCAAGTGTTCCAAGAAGCGCTCCATATAACATCTAGACTATGTGCAAGATATCTACTCTATCGCTTTGTTTACAGCGATGAGATACAGTTTATATTTGTATACGTCTCAGCATGTTCCAAGTAACAAACATAAACTATATCTGTTATCAATTCTTTACCCGGTGCCGAATATTTGATCACAGTTGATGTAAATTTATTTTCTGTTAATCGTTATTATTACTAGTTAATTATTTCTTATTCGTGCCTTATTCTTATATTTCTTTACTAAATTGTTGCACTCAACAAACAAGTTTCTTACTAGTATTCATTTCTTATCCGATTATCAACTGTTTTATGCACAATAACGCAACCAAATTCTACTTCATGAAATTTTTGCATTCCTCCCAGCCGTTTTATACACCAACTAAACAATATTAGATAGATGTTATATTGCTGCACACAGTTTTTTTTCTCGTAGTTTCAAATATATACGTGTATTCCCATCTCAATGTATTACATTAGCGTATACATCATTAAGGGTGTAGAGTAACTGCGATTGTACAGCTTTGAAGACGAAATCACCGAAAAAGGACTTCGCTCGACTGCCATTCCTCTTTTATAACTTGATAGACTATTTGGTAACTTACAAACCTGAGATTTTTACCATTACAATACCGGTCTTCCGATACAGTCAGCACTAATTTTCTTTTCACCTCATTTTACAAAATTTTCTGTGCTAGTTTTCACTTGATAACATCGAGTTCCTCGTAATATTGTACAAGGAAATCAGCTACCATCATTTTATTTACCAATCGTAATTAGTTTTCAATGCAGGCACCAAAAGCATTGAGGTTCTGTGTTTCATACGAGTACCTTACCTATTTCTGAGACACAGTTCCACACCGAAATTGCTTGAAGCTGTAGACCACACAGTTTGCATGTATGTAAGATCTTTTATGAGTGAAACACCTTATACAAATCAGAGTCGAATCCATGTTCACTGCTGACCACCAAGTTTCGAAAGTTAGAAGATTCTCTTGTACATATATCCTATTCTTATAATTACTGATATCTTTTCACAGCTGTATGCTATCAGTAAAATATAACTTCAAAATATACTTGAGTAGGCACACCGCTTATGTATATTAGTTAGTGGGTAGGTTGCGATACTGAACTCTGAGGGGCTCCATTGAAACATTCTATATATTAAATAGATTGTCACGCAAATATAATAATACACAACAGAATAGTGGTGAGTCGATTACTATTTCTAGTGTCACTTTACCGAGTACTAAAACAATGGTAGTCAATTTTCGCTAGACCTAGAAGACGCAGATGATAGTTCTGTTAGGTGAAGACGCTGACAAGTTGCAGAGTCTTCTGGACACTTTGAGTGGCAATATGAGAATGTTTGGGATGCGTTTCTCGCCACCCAAATGCAAATTCTTGCTTCAGGACTGGTCTTCAATGGCAACCCGACTAAGAATAGAGAGTGAAATGATTGAGTGCGTTGAACACTTGACTTACTTGGAAAGTCGTATCAGCCCTGGTGGGTTGGTCAGCTGCCGACGAAATCTCTGCACGAATACAAAAGGCTCGGTTAGCTTTTGCCAGCCCACTCCATCTGTGACAAAGCCACAATATCCGATTATCTCTTAACGGTCAAATCTACTCTAATGCAGTTCTCTCCGTTCTACTGTATGGCTGTGAAACATGGGCATTAAAGGAGAAGCTCGCTTTACTCCTCATACCTCTGAATTTGCTTGTGCATTCCCTATTGTTTTACCGTGGGGTCAGCACTTGAACCTTCTTGTTCTGAGTTATTTCCCCATAGCTTAACTTCAACGCTAAAATATCATTACTGAATTTTAGGTACTGGATTTAAAACCTTGGCCGATATGTCTTCTCTTCTCTCGATGAAAGCGAAAGTAAGCATAGAGACATGAAATGTCCTCATCATGTATGAACCTATCAAGGCTCCCCAGATTGCAAGAGGTGAGAAGGTATAACATAGAAGTGCCAGGCTGGGAATCTATAAAAGTAGATGGGATGGAAATGAACTCTCGAAACTGTCAACTGCAGAGTCAATAATCTACTCCAATATTGTCACCCAGACAACTACCACTAGCACACTGAGTTTTTAAGTGGCTATCATGGTGTCCCCAACAGCATCGAAGGCTCTCTCAGGCAATCGAAACCAATCTCCTCCTCCAGGATCATGACAGCAAGGTTCAACTCAAAAGAAAGGAAAGTAAAATCACACAATGCTACGCTACGCACCTACAAATAGTACAGATGAAGGGAAGAAGGAGGAAGTCTACAGACAACTGCAATCACTACTGGACAAAATCCCACCCCTTATGGTGACATCAAAATTCTAATGAGTGACATGAATGCCAAACTGGGAGCAGACAACACAGGAAGAAAACCAATCATTGGTTGAGAGGCACTCGGTGCAATGAATGAGAATGGAGGACTGTTTACAGACTTCTGCGCATTTAACGATTTGGTGATTGGAGTCAG